GCGAGCAATCTCTGGAGGCAGTGCCGAGGTGGCAGCGGGGCAGGTCTGTGCCAGCCCCAGGCAGGGTGGCAGTTATGGGGGAGCCTCCTTGTCCCCATCCTGTCTGGGCACGTCCTCGTGGCTGAATCTGGGGGCTGAGGGAGAGCATCTGGCTGCTCGTTCTGAGAGCAGCATCTTCTTCCCGGAACTATTGGGGGAATTGGGGAATTATAGAATGGTTTGAGTTGGGAGATCATCTACTCCAATCCCCTGCTGTGAGGAGAGACATCTTCAACTAGATCAGGTTGCTCAGAGCCCCATCCAGCCTGACCTTGAATGTTTCCAGGGATGGGGTGTCCATGATTTCTCGGGGTAACCCGTGCCAGTGCCTTACCACCCTCAGCATAAAAAAATGCATTCTTCTGTTTAGTCTAAACCTACCCTTTCTAAGTTTAAAACAATCACCCCTTGTTCTTTTGCAATTGACCCTGATGAAAAGTTTGTCCTCGTCTTTCTTATAAGTCCCTTTTTGGTGCTGGAAGGGGTCTCAGGTCTCCAAGCTGAACACCCCCAGCTCTCCCAGCCTGGTTCCAGAGCAGAGGGGCTCCAGCCCTCGGAGCATCTCCGTGGCCTCCTCTGTTACAGGAGCAGCAGAACCTTCTCCAGGGTGTGGTGGGGAAATGCATGTCTCCCCTTCAGCATAAAAAGCCACCACAAGAAAGTTTTGGGGAGCCGGCCTTGGGCTCCTGTCTCCACCCCTCCGAGAGCTTGGCAGACCCTTCACCCCCCTCCAAGTGAGAGAGGATGCTTTATTTCCTCGGCAGTCAGCCTCTTGGCTGAGCATCCCTCGGCACTGTGCTCCCGACTCTTCTCGCTCCCATCTTAATAACTGTAAAGATCAGGGTTGCCAAGGTCTTCCCGTTGCTATAGTGAGATTAGATAGGGCAGAGCACTGCATTCCCTCTGCCGAGGGGAGAAATCACTCTCATCCCTTCCCTGGGCTTCACCAGCCAGGTTTTTGTTTTTTTTTTTTTTTCATCCACTGGCAGCTACTAATTGCACCTGAAAGACACTGCTACGTGTTTTGCTGCAATTAATATTTCATAGCCTTAAAAAAAAAAAAAAATTAAAAAAAAAAAAAAAGGAGAAAAATTAATTATCGAGGCATTTTCTCCTGGAACCAACTTAAGAGACTCTCCGTCTGGAACGAGTTTACAGCGCTAACTGTGAAGTTAAAATATTTATCTTCATAAACACGTCACTCGAGCCGTGCTATTCCTCGCAGGGTCATTAGCAAGAGGCACGTTAGTCCAATGAGGAGGTGCCTGGGAGACACAGATTTGCCTTTTGCTTCTGGGCGGGGTTAGGAGATGATTTATTAAACGAATTTGAGAGCTGCGAGTCTGGCCAGACCTCTGAGTCAAACTGCTGTAGGAAAAAAAATCCCACCAGCCGGAGCTCTTGCAGGCAGAAGATGGGGTGCAGTCATTTTGACACGGTTGATTATTTCCTGGTGTGGAGGTGTCCTCCCCAAAAATTCCCGAGGACGTACAGCAACTGATCCAGGGACCGTCAGATTGCAGGAGGTAGTTTTTGTTTTAATTTTCTTAGGTTTTATTTTAATTCTTTTTTTTTTTTTTGTTAGATTTAATTTTATCAGGTTTTATTTTCGCTTCCTTAGTTTTTATTTTAATTTTCTCGGGGGCTTGGGTAGGTTTGTATAAGAATTCAGGTGAGATCTCCCTGAATATAGGAGTGCAGAGCTTGGGGTATGGCACATGTTCCCACCCCTCCACCTCCTTTTTTGGGTTTAAAATGTTGGGTTTGAGCACATAAAGTTTAACCCCCTATAGCCCAATACCAAACATGCCCTGGAGAGGGATGTCTGTGATCTGCTCTGTGTGTGGGGAGAGGATGGAGGGTTTAGGTAGTAGACTGTTTTTTTGGACTCGGGGCTGTATTTTGTGTATGTTGGGTGCTGGTATCCCAGGACAGGGAGTGGGGTGAAGGACACAGGTCTTTTGGAGGTGTTGCTGCATGGTGCACTTCCCAAAGCTCCTGTCTTTGCTGGGGAGCCAGAAGTGTTTGTGTCTGCCTGGTCTTGGGACTGAGGAGGAACGTGTAAAGGGAGAGCTAGTGGTGGCCCCGTGGCTGGTGACAGTGGCAGTGAAGATTATTCAAGCTGAGGAGCTGTCACTGTGTTTTTCCCCTCTGAAATCCTCTTCCTCTCCTTGGGTCCCCATCAATCATGTATGCAAATGACATGAGGAATGACACATGGTCTGACCAAGATCATTCCAGGGTCTTGCACCCCAGTCAGTGTGTGGGGCTCACCCCTTGCTGCACCTTGGGTAGGTGGGAGGGGGATTGAAGAAGTTGTGTGATAACTGTCAGGTTGCACAGGTTCAGAAAAAGAAAGGGAGAAAGTAAGTGATGCTGTTGGTGGCCTGGGAAGGGTCTCATTTCCTGTCCTCTGAGCAGATAGGTGTAGCCTTAGCAAGGCTTGAGATACATTAGTCTTCCTCTCCAAGACCAGACCTCAATTTTGGGGTGAAATTTGTGAAAACAGATCTCCTGAGCAGCGCTTTAAGCTCTCTGTTGGTAGAGATCCTGTTTTCTATAGGAAACCATTTCTTGCAGAGATTTTCCAATGGGTCCCAGTTTGTGCCTTCTGCCCACATCCCTTCCACGTGCTGGCTGCCGACCTTCCCCAGATGTGCTGAGGTTTACAGCCCGAGGTGCTTGTCAGAAGAGCTTTCTCTTACTTTACTGGCAGGATTTGCAGTGGCAAATGTCACTCGATGTTGACTGCCTGGTCTGCTCTGCTTAGGCAACCTCAAATCTTGATGCTCTCCTTGCTCCTCCCGCTGCCCTTGGCTCGTGGTCGGGCTGGGAAGCGCTGGCTGGTGCTCTCCACGTACTCCGTTCACACATTTTTCATCAGCTCTGTCATGACTTAATCTGATCATCATTCAGCAGTGATGGCTAAATGGCACGGGGTGTGCTCAGCACTAATCACTTGAAGGAGATGTATGCAAAGGTTACATCCTGGTGGTAAATGTCATGCCCTGTGCAGTTCAATCAGGGCTGATATTTATGCGATCACTGGAGATCAGTGGAGACTGCGTGCCAGGTGGAGAGCCCTCGTCCCAGAGAAACACAGATATTTTGGCTGCAGCAGGACCTAACCCCCATTTCTGGGAAGTTGTATTGGCTGCCCTTTTCCAGCAGAAGGTTCCTGCTGCTGATGCTTGGGTTGCAGCTGCCACAACGAGCATCCTTGGTTCACAGGAACAGGGACCTTTTGAAGGAGCAGCAGCTTCTGCTTCACCAAGTGTGACCTGGTGGCATCGTGGTCGGCGTCCTGGATGGGTGGAAATGGATTATTTCTGTTCTCAGTCCTGTGTCTTTTTGATATAAAACAGAGGAAGGAGTCCCTGGTAGGTGCTTCCAGTTTAGCTCCTGTGACAGTGGAGTCGAGACTCTGCATGTGGAAGGGACCTGGTAGAGCTTTGGCCCTGGTGTGAAACTTACCCATGGGTGTCCAGGTGAGGAAATCTCTTTCTGGAAAGCCATGGGAGCTGAAGGGTGTGATTGCCCTTGGTAGAGTGAGTTTATTATAGTTTTAGGGAGAAGAGGGTTTTAGAATAGTATAAAACTTGGTATAAGTTTTGCTCTCAGGAGTTTCCAGGGATGTCTAAAACCAAGAGTGGAGTAAAGGAAAGATCAGAGTGGGCTGAGGAAGAACACATAGGGGAGAATAAATGGAAAAGTGGAATAAAATCAGCTTCCGTGGGTGTGGGGGTAGTGTGTAGGGGGGGTCACAGCGGGGGTGAGGGCTGGATCTGGTGACTGGGGGTGCCTACTGGAGGTCAAATAGCAGGAAACGAGCTGTGATGGTCATGATGAGGCCGATGGTGGCAATAGGAGTGGGAAAATAAGTAGCAGCAATAGGCTGCAAGGGAGCAACTCCATAGGGTATTCTCAAACTACCACAGGGACCTTGAGGGTGTGGGGCGTGTCACAGTTAGAGTACTGAATGGTGCTTACAGCTGATCAACTACTCAACTGGCTTTTTTCATACTCTTTGATGGAGGGGGGCTGTGTGGGACCAAGATGCTCAGCCCTTGTCCGTGCTGAGGAGCAGCAGACACCCACGAGCATGTAGGTACCAGCCTCAGTGAAACTATCCATGTGTTACTGCTGCATGGGGAATGCGGGGGAAAATCTGGGATACACTGCGGGGGAGCAGGGAGAGAGGGGAGGATACTCTCCCAGTTTCCTTTGGGGTGCTGCAGGGCGCTTGGAGCTCGTCTTTGGTGATGGGGGTGTCCCATTCCTTGCCATTGCAGCCCTTGCTGCTGGCTGTGGTGTGTTCATCTCCCGCTTTCCCAGCCGTGCCAGGAGACATGAATTATGTATGGCCACTAAAACTCTCACCCTGTTGCTTCTGATTACAGAGAAATTACGGGTTACTGGGCCAGACTGTGCAGCCGGTGACGTCTGTGGGGCTTTGATGCCCCGGGCAGAATTTGGTCAATGATGCGTTGCTAAGTGCAGGTGTTCCAGCAGCAGCCTGACCTCAGCCCTGGAGCTCTTCTTTATCCCAAGCCTGGATTTCACAGGGAACTTGCAAGCCCTGAGACTTGCCTCAAATCATCTGTATAATTTTTTTTTTTTTTTGGGCAAGGCATCTGTTTTGGGTGCTGTTTCCCGTGACTCAGAGGGTAAATAGCAGTTGCTGCGCTCACCTGGTTTGCTTGCTAAAAATGAATGTGAAACAGTTCAGGGGCTTGTTTCCTGGTTGTTTCCTTCTATTTCAGGCGAGTTCATCCCTGATTATGGGCTGTCAAACCTCAGAAATTCGTAGCTGTGTGTCCACTCTCTAATTTTTTATTTTATTTTAAATGGAACAGAAAAGAAACATAGACTTCTTTTAGTGTGAAGTCATAAATACTCCTGAGAGGAGGTGGATTTTGCAGGACTCCTGGTGTACAACAGGTGAGGATGCATGCCTAGGTAGTGATGCAAGTGTGAGGAGCAGCCCCGTTTCTTGGCAGTGGACAGTAAGTACTGAGAAACTTTATCATTAAAACATTTATGTTCAGCTCCACAGATTTCCCTTGGGCCATTTGTTGTGATATGTCATATTGGGAATGTCGTGAAGAGGAGGACTGTCTTTCTCTGCTACATTTAAGACCTACAAAGCTGTAATTATAGTCATTATTTCAAGGCCGTTTCCCATTCTGTGGTGCCCAAGTGGGCAGAAGGACAGAGCTGGGCGATGAAGGTGTTGGAGGTGGTGTGGATTTACATCCAGGCAGGACTGTGCTTGGTGTTGGAGGAGATGGGAAGATGCATGTATGAGTCTGGGAGGAGGTGGTTGCACAATATGTGCCCACAGAATCACAAAAGCACTCACAAGCACACTTGCACACACTTTTTTACTCATGTTGGACCACTGTCCCACAGCACTGACTGTTATGTGTCCCTCTGCCACGTGCTGGAGTTTGCTGAGATCACCTTGGCTTGCAGGGAACTGTAGATAAGACAGAGCACCTCTCCCACGAGGAAAGGCTGAGAGAGTTGGAGTTGTTCAGGCTGGAGAAGAGAAGGCTCCAGGGAGACCTTAGAGCCCCTTCTAGTTCCTAAAGGGGCTTTGAGAAAGATGGGGACAGTCCTAGCAGGGCCTGTTGCAATATCACAAGGGGTATGGATTTTAAACTGAAAGATGGTCCATTTAAACTAGATACAAGGAGGAAGGTTTTTACAATAAGGCTGGTAAAACACTGGCACAGGTTGCCCAGAGAGGTGATGGATGCTCCATCCCTGGCAACATTCCAGGCCAGGATAGGTGGGGATCTCACTGAAGATGTCCCTGTTCATGGCAGGAGTTTGAATTAGATGATCTTTAAATGTCTTTCCCAACTCAAACCCCTCTGTGATGCCTCCTGGATCCTGGCATCAGTCAGCTCTTATGTGCAGATGGGAATGCTGCTGATCCCCACAGTTGCTGCATGGCAGGTATCTACAGACAAGTCAGCCTGTGGGGGGAAATAAGGTGAGGACAGGTAGCAAAAAGCTGATGTTGAGGTCTGAAATGCATCCCAGGAGGTGAGGTACCCCTGGGGGCACACCTGGGTGTCTCCCTCCTTTGGCCACTACCTCCCTGTGTGACCACAACAGGTCCCTCCAGGTTTTGTGTTTCCACTGCTGTGTTGGTGGAGCACCTCCTTGCTTTTCCAGGGCAGGGATTGTCTTTGATGTTGCAAGTAAAGCAGTAGTGGCTGGCCTAGCATGATAATATGCCCTCTTGGCAAGGTCTGTGGACCTCTCTGTAGTATGGATGGGTAATTGTAGTGACACAACTTCAGCCAGTGCCCAAAGCCAGTAGCTGTGGTTCTTCTGATGTTTCCATCCCTGACTTTGCCAAGATGTTAAAGTCTGCAGTGAAATGACCCTGACTTGCATCAACCATCCAGACTTTTAGATCATTGCCTCATAAAACTTGTGCAAAATAAACACAAAGTTCAAAACAAGGGATGGCTTGGATTTTCCTCTGGACCCCAGAGATTGTTATTTTGATCTTTTCAAACTTTCTAGAACGCAGTGACAGATTGGCGAATTGGGTGGGATAATCACCTGGGATGAAAGAGGTCGATGAAAGAGTTTTGGGGCAGTGAAAAAGAGATGGGGAACCTTAGACTGCTGGCCATCCAGTTAACCTAACTGTAACCAAGGAGTGTCCATCTTCATGGAGAGGGCTGTTAAGCATTGGAAGGGGCTGCCCAGGGAGGTTTTGGAGTCCCCATCCCTGGAGATGTCCCAGGAATGACTGGACGTGGCACTCAGTGCTCTGGGCTGGGTGACAAGGTGGGGATCAGTCAGAGGGTAGCCCTGATGGTCTTGTAGGGCTTTTTCAGCCTTAATGATTATTAATCAGTCAGGAGGTGGGATGATGGTGTATGATGTAGTCGGCGGCAGGTGGGAGTGGCTCCAGAAAGAGAGGACTTGGAATGGGCAGCACAAGGGAGGAGCACACAGCTCAGTCCCATCTGGTGGGAGACTGGAGCTGAATGTTTGTTGTGGTGCTAATTTCTGCTAATGAGCAAAGGGCAAGGCTTGAGATCCAGCTGCTTGGATGGGTTGGGGTTTTAGAACAGAACAGGGTTGGATTAATGCAAATTTAATCAAATTTGAGAGGGAGAGTGGTTTTATTTTCCCTTTTAAATCCTCTATGGGCTCTTCACAATGAATTTCTGGTGACTTCCATGGTGTGAGTTCTGCTCAGGTTCCATGCATGACCTTGACTAAGCCACTCTAGATGAGATACATTAAACTGATTGTGGTGGGTACCTAAATAAGGGCTGGAATCCCCGTGCACCTGGTCCTCAGCTATGAAGCCCGTGAGTTAATCCCATCTGGGGACTACCCAAGCACATAGGCTTAAGTGTGTTTATCTGGTAATTGAATTCCTGTGCTTTTTTTCCCAACTGGGGGATCAGAAATGATGCTTTTCTCCCAAGCTCTGTGAGGTTTATGGGGCACCTGGAAAGATGGGGCTACAGCAGTGTGGAGCTTTCCAGAAAAATAGGAGGGAATTTGCCATCTACTCCTCATGATAGTGATTTGTAAAGCCAGCTGATGCCTGTAGACTAGTGATCACAGGGGTAGATCTTTCAGGTCTCTCTGATGCTTTGGCTTCTTTGCTCCTTTGTAGGTGGAGGTGGCTGAAATTTTAGGGCCCAAATCCCCAGGAGATCATCTGAGCAAGTTATTTTTGCTGGTTTTTTTTTTGCTTTTAGTCAAAAGGCCTCCTCCCTTCCCCTTCAAAGCCTTCCTCTGCTCTTCATTTATTCCTCTGAAATCATCCTGTTTCCTTCTTCCCACTAGGATTCCCTCCCTACCAAGAAAACCCAAGCTGCATATTTTAATGCTTGAGATAGATATAAAATATGATTGAGGGTCTGGGCACCTCCATCTCAAAATGCCTGCCATGCCTGTGAAAGTTTTTCCAAACAGCTACTGCCTGCAAATGCTGGCTGGGAGGAGACTGGCCTCTTGGAGAAGGGCTTTTTGCATTAGGTGACTGTGTGCTGGGGTTCAGAGCACCACTGAATGCAGGCTGGGTGATTCCCCTCCAATCAGTGGGTTTTCCAAGCCCTTATTCCCATCTCCACATACCCAAGGGACAGTCTGGAGGAGCACAAGCTCTCAGTACCTCTGGTGTAATTCATCCTCACTGGGCAGCATCCCTAATTCTGCTGTCATTTGCGAGGGTGCAGCTCTGATGGCTCTGCTGGGAGCGTTATCCCTGCACGGTAATGGAGGAGTAGTCAGGGTTTTTTTGATCACTTATTCCAGATGTAATTCCCAGGCTGTTCTGAGTCATGTCAAGAGCTGCAAAACAAGGCGTCCAGCCTCCGTCCCTCGTGTTGGGCAGCCGATGACATCGGTGGTGCACAGCACTCCTAGCCCTGCCTGCCATGCCCTGGCTCTGCACACACACAGCCCGGGGAAAAGAGAGGTCCCTCTCTGCTAGAAAAAAGAAGTGCAAGGGGCAAAAATGTGACAGCGAGCGTGGCTCTCAAAAGCTGTCTCGGAGCTGTGCTGCGGGTCTGTGGGAGTGACGTAAAACACACACATACCGTGAGGAAAAGCACCTGGCAGCCAGGGGAGATGCTGCATCTCAGGAGGAGGGTGTGGTTTAGGAGGTACCATCTGCTCCCTGCAGTACAGGGTGCTGTTAGGGAGTGTGGATAGGTGGCTGTTGGGAGGAGAAAGAAGAGGGATGAAATGGTGCCTCCCATTGTTGCCCAGAGAGATGGTGCGTGCCCCACCCCTGAAAATACTCAAGACCAGCTCTGAACCTGATCTAGTTGAAGATGTTCCTGCCCATGGCAGGAGAATTTGGACTAGATGACCTTTAAAGGTCCCTTCCAACCCAAAAGATTCTATGGTTCTGTGATTCCCAGGGGCTCTGTATTTCCCATAAGGCTGCTTTGGGTGAAGGCCGGAGATACATCTGGCCAGGACTGTGGGTGCCCAGATATGCTTGACGGGGAGAAGCATCCTGGGATCCCCTGGGATGAGATTTCTGGGAAGGAAACGTCCCATCTCCCTCAACCCAGAAGGCTGGGGGAGATTGGGTTAACAACTCATTATTACTGGTGCACTCGGGGGACAAGGCGGTTTTACTTTGTTTTATTTTGATGTTAAAGATATCCTTTAAAGAAGTGTCAGCCCATAGATTGTCACTTTTATGATTCAAAAATTGTAGCTGCTTGCCTGGGGTGTATTCGAGAACAGCAAGGAAGAGACTGTATTAGATTAATAAGTGAGGGTTTAATCCATTTTCATTATTTGCGTAATAATGTCCTCTAATTAATAGGTAATGGGCAGCCTCTGGATTAATCCATGAGTGGGGTCTGCAGTGATGCCATCAGAAAAGGATTTTATTGCTGGGAAGTACAGCTTTGTTTAGTTTTTCTAGTAAATTTAGTAACTGTGAGAGCCAAAGGGTGTCTGTGAGAGTGTGTGCTGTGCCTGGGGTGGTAGGGTCTTTCAGGGACAACACGCAAATTCCCTAAATGCATCAGACCTGGAACGCAACCAGGGTTTTGTTCAAATTCTATTGCTGGTCTGCTGCAGGCAGGGGCCAGCCAAGAAGCTGTTCCTGTGTTTTAATCTGCCTTAAGTAGGTTGGAAAGTAGCTGCTTGTTTCGTGGCCATGGTTTCCCCCTGTTTTGTCCTTAAAAACCTACCATGCTCTCATTTTGGTGTCCCTTCTTCAGCTGGTGGATACCCTCCTGCTGGTCTACAGGCACAGGAGTGGTTCCTGTCTCAGAGACATGCCAGGAGGGGGATCTCTCTCTCTATCTCCATCTCTGTTTCTCTCTTCTTTCTTATGCTTTGGTTATGACAGTGTTTGTGATAAGTGGAACAGGATTACTTCAGATACAGATCTTGGCATGAAGCAAAACCTCATATTAAATTTTTGGGGTGTAAAGGAGATAGAAGATGGGAGGCCAGCCTCTTCACTGTAGGTAGGTCCTGGCAGCAGGTAGGACTTGAGGCTCAGAGAACTGCAGGATGCAGCATTTGGAGAGCTCACCTTGTGAGATGAAACAGGCAAAGGGATGCAGATGTAGAGGAAAACTGGGAAAGCAATGGGATGTAGATCCAGGATAGCTGTTTCTTGGTTTTCTTCTTCACCAAACTGCCTTAGTGCTGTCCCACCTTCATTCTGGTGACTATTTTGCCCCAAGAGATTGAAGGACTTTTCCCTACATCCTGATGTGCACTCAAACACTGGCCCAGGTTGCCCAAAGAAGTTGTGGCTGTCCCATCCCTGGAAGTGACCAAGGCCAGGTTTGATGGGGCTTGGAGCAACCTGGTCTAGTGGAAGGTGTCCCTGCCCATGGCTGGGGGTGGAATGAGATGAACCTTAAGGTCCCTTCCAACCCAAACCATTCTGTGATGTTGTTTCCTACGGTGATAATCATGCTGCCTTCAGAGAGATGTTGTGGATGTGGCTTTGGCTCTGTGTTGGGATTTGCACCTGCTTGTACCAGCAGTGATCTGAGACCTTAGAGCTTATTTAATTTCCTTTCAGTTAATCCACTCCCATCCTCAGATGGGAAAACTTCAGACACCTGCCCAGGGAGTTTTTCCTCTTGTTTTCCACTGAACTCTTGTGAGATACCATGGTCTTTGAGTGATGCTTATAGGCTCTGTCAGAGGAGAAACATTGTTCTGATGGACAGCAGGTATTCTGGAAATAAATTACACAAAACCCCCCAGATTGTGGAAATAAAAAATGTGTATTTTTGTTACTTCTGTGACTGCGAACAATCTCGCCTCACCAAAGGCTGCACTTCGAAAGAGAAAACACAATTTGGCTAAAATTGCCTGAATGAGGTCATAAAATTATACTCCATGAATGGTCCCGTTATTCACAAAGCACAGTTGCTTGGATGGAAATTGCTGAGGACCTTTCACTGATACAGTGAGGAAAAGGCAGAGGTTTCACGAGCCTCCTACAGTTTAGCTGCTGAGGGGATTAATAGTAATGTAGCAGCCAAATACCCTGTTAGAGCCCATTTATTCTCTACTATACTCCAGGGGCTGTTGCTCCTTGGATGTGATCTTGAGCAGAGCTCATCAGATACTGCTTGCAAGGAAATACACTTATTTTATACCTCAAACATCAAAACATGTGTCCAGGGACTCCTTTCCCAAAGCCTGGAGCTCTTCCTTGCCATTGCTCCTTTCTGTGAGTTGCTGCTCATGTGTGGGATGCTTCTGAATGTGGTGTTGGTGGGAGAAAATACCTCATGCAGTGGATACTCCACTTGCCTGCAATGACAGAGAACTCCTACATGAGCGAAATAGTTACCGAAATTATTTGCTGTGCCAATCAATAAGGTCTGGACTCGTTCTTGAAGAAAAGAGTCAAGGAATCTTTAATGCATCTTGCCTGGAAGAGTGCATGTGCATCAAGTCTTGGATGCACCACCTTAGTGCTTTGGTCCAGTACTCATACACCTGGCAGGCTCAACAGGATTTCCTTCACTGCCTTGATTTCCAGCTGGAGGATTCCTGCTGATGAAAAGCGCAGGTCTGGCTTTGTACCGACAGGTTTTCAGTTTAGGAGTCCAGAGAAAATGAGCAGCCTTAAATTAATGGCTGTATTAATAGCCTTAAATTGTCAGAGGGCAGGGTTAGATGGGATATTCTTGGCCGTGAGGGTGGTGAGGCCCTGGCACAGGTTGCCCAGAGAAGCTGTGGCTGCCCTTGGATCCTGGAAGTGTCCAAGGCCAAGCTGGACAAGGCTTGGAACAACCTGGTCTGGTGTTTCTGCGCATGGCAGGGTGGGTAGAACTAGATGATCTTTAAAGCCCCTTCCAACACAAATCATTCTAGGATCCCCAGGAGCTCTGTATTTCTCATAAGATTGCTTTTTAATTTTTTTTGTAGTTCAGCAGGTGAAGAGCCAACTTCTGTTAATAAGAGATTTTGGCTGAGCTTCAGGCATCGAAAGTTAAAAATCTGCAGAAGGGCATGGATTAAATACAGAAGTATGGAGAATGGAGGAAAGGCTGAATGCGAAGAGGCTGCTTCTTCTGTCCCTAACCTCAAAAAGGCGAGAGGTAAAGGGATCCAGAGAAAGGACAACGGGGAAGAAAAGCAAAATATAGATCTCCTTTTTTTTTTTTTTTTTCCCCCCTTCTTTTGCTATTGCATTAATTCTCTTTTTTCTGCAGGTGTCTTACAAAAGCAGTGTTTTGTCCTCTTCTGTATTTCGTGCCTCCCGTGTCCATGCCAGGATACCTGCTTTTATATGGCGGACAATGGGAGTGCAGCTGGCACTGAGCTGAAGCCTGAGCTGTTCTGCACCTCATGTGGATTCGAGTTCAAATAAACAGTTTGACTCGCTCAAGGAGTGAATCAGAAGAAGGAACTTGAGCCTCTAGCCTACAAGCACCGTGCTGTGAAAGCAAGGTGTATAAACATATGAGTTATTCTTTAGTGTGCAGTTCAATGTGAGGCTTGTGCTTGGAGGAGAGTCGGCGCTTCAGACCTCCCGTAGCCCTGTTCAGGGTCTTGGTGGAGAGTGCAAGGATATCTTGGATTAGACTTTACAGAAGGAGAGTGAAGTCTCTTGTAGGTTGGTTATCTGTCTGGTTCTCAGGTTTATCTTTGGTGCTAAGTGCTTCCAGTTTGAGTAAATGACAATGTTAAGAGGTAAAACCAGGAAAAGCAACCCATCCAGAGCCCCCACAGCAAAATGGGGATAAGGTGTTACTGATGGCAGGGGACTCTATACTCAGATTTCTTGCTGTTGGACAAAGTAGGTACCTTGTTAGCAATGTCTGGGGACAGGTTCTCCTGGCTGGACTGACTCAGAAACACTTTGGTCCATCAGTCACTCAGCAAGGTCACACCAGAGTGGTGACAGATTAAAGCCTAATGGTGCAAGTTTTCCTTTAGCCATTGTCTATCCAAGCTGGATGGGAACCACTGAGTATGACAAGGGGGAGTGGTTTGAAACTAAATGAGGAGAGATTTAGAATAGATGTTAGCAAGAAACTCTTGCTTGTGAGGGTAGTGAGACCCTGGCACATGTGGCTGCTCCATCTCTGGAAGTGTCCAAGGCAAGGTTGGACACAGCCCTGAACAACCTGACCTAGTAGGTAACATCCCCATGGTAGTTGGGGGTGGAACTAGATGATCTTTAATCACTGTTCTGTGATTCTATGTGACATCTTCTAGAAGCAGGGTGCAGCTTCCTACAGCCTTGTTGGACAGCCCAAGTTCCTGGTGAGCACTGCAGCCGGTCTGGGGTCTCTGCTGAGTCCCACCACCAGCCTATGGAAAAGCAAGAATGGGTGTGACCACCCATGTGTCCCCAGAAGTCTTCACCAAGGCTTTTGGTCAATGGATTTGCTTATCTGCACAAGTGTTACTCATATGAAGTATAAGTATGCTTATCTGCACATATGTTACTCATACTCGTTGTGAGACGTTGCCTTTGGTTCTCATTGCTGTCTGGTTTTGTCTTGCCTCCAAAGCCTTGCAAATCATCGATGGCATGACATGGTTGTCTGTGTATGGGAGGTGAGATCTACTCAGAAATTGTTTTTATTATGTGTTAACACTAGCAGATAAATAATGTTCCCTCTGAGTTGTGCACGGGGAGACAGTTTTCTCCAGTGCCTTCAAATCAGGTGGTTAATAAAAGCCATTAATCCCCATGAATGACAGCAGTATATTAGAAGTGAAACACATGTTAAAATAATTTGAGAGACTGTTTTCAGGTCATAGGCTAACCCATTCTCTTCATATATAATATTTTCATGAGGTGTAAATACTTCCAGGCTTGAGATGTTGGCTGGAGATCAAGCTTTGGGAATGTACAGAGGTGGATCATCCATCTGAGGGTATCAGCATCACAGTCTGGACCAAAACTAAACTGAACTTCCAATGTAAGTTAATTAAAGTAGATTTAGATTGGATATTAGGAAGAAATTTTATACTGTGAGGGTGGTGAGGCCCTGGCAGAGGTTGCCCGGAGGAACTGTGGCTACCCCATCCCTGAAAGTGTTGAAGGCCAGGATGGACAGGGCTTGGAGCAACTTGGGCTAGTGGAAGGTGTCCCTGCCCATGGCAGGGGGTTTGGAACTTGGATGGTCTTAAAGGTCCCTCCCAGCCCAAACCATTCTGTGATTCTGTGAATTCAAAAGTTGAATTTGGGAAAGCCTGAACTATGCGTAAGCTTAAATTGAATTTGGCAAGTGGACATGTTGAAAATCCCCAGGGAGAGTTAATTTATTTTTAATGTCCAGGCATTTCATGTGAGATGACAAAATGAAATGTGTCATTTTGGAAATGCCAAAACATTTTGACATCTTCTCAATGAAGCTTTTTAATTTTTTGTTTGGAAAATACAGTTAACAGTTAGAAGGAGGAAAGGTTAAACAAGACTTGGTAGTGAACTAGTACATTTTGTTTTGATTCAAACAAAACAGGTAGGGGTAGCAAACTTTTTCTTTTTTCATCTTGCCGAACCCCTTTCCCTTCCCCCCCAAATCTGTTTCTCATTGACTCAAACTATTTTTCTCTCACTTTTAGCACAAGTAAGAGAGTCACTGGATTAAAAAAAATTAATTTATTCACCCCTTCCAGCTCCCGGAATGCCCTGGTTTGGAAATTGTGACAAGAACTGATGGAAAACCCTTGCAGGAATAGGTAGAACAACCCCTTAACATCTGGTGATCCTAAAGACAGGATTTCATGGTGGGGCTGTAAGGAGGCCTGTGGTGCCCAACGCAGCATCCCAGCCCTCCCTGGCCATCCTGGGCTCCACAGGTGAGCAGGTGGGACCCTGAATAACCCAATGGCAGGAGTTACTGAGGGGCCACTGCGGGGCTGGAGAAGGTGATGAGGCACTTTGGGGAAGTGGCACCACAGCTTATGGAGCATTATCCCAGCTGAGCCCACCAAGCACAGACAGGTGGTGGATGCCCCGTCTCTGGGAGTGTTCAAGGCCAGGCTGGATGAGTCTTGGAGCAACCTTGTCTAGTGGAAGGTTCCCTGCCCATGGCAGGGGCGTTGAACCAGGTGGTCCCTTCCAACACAAACCGTTCTATGATTTTACAGTTCTAAGCTGCTGCGCTCTCCTACCACCATCTTCCTATCTGCCTGAAAGCAAACTCTGTTGTTTTTTTTCTGGGCAGTGCCTCTTTTTTGGAGATTAAACTCAACAGACAGCTCAGTGGTGCAAGATGTTTTGCTTTGTAGGGCTTGTTACCACCCGTCTGGAGGTGGAGCGAGACTGTTCCGACACTGGGTACTGCAACAAGCCATTGATCTTGACGTGCCCTCTTTGCAGGCAGTAATGTGTGTTCTTTCCTTAGCATTTTGGGCAGGAGATGCATCATGCTGCCTGCTGGAGCCCAGGGAGGAGCATCATCAAAATGAGGGATGCCAGAGACTTAATTGATCTTTGAGGATCAGCCCCCAGCTCATTTCTGTCTTCGCCTCCTTTCTACTGTAATCATTCCCCTGGGTTTGAAGAACTGGTAAGAGAAGAATTTTGCTTTGGAGTGAGCCTCTACTAGTTTTATACTGGGTTCTGGAGGAAACCATGCGATATTCAGTAGGAAGGAAACAGATGAGATCGGGGAAAAAAATAAAAATCACAGGGTTGTCCAGAAATTACTCTGAAAAAGCTGCTGAATTTCCAAACCAGAGCATGAAATCCTTTGTGCCTTTTTCCCCTATTCAAACCACCCCTTTTCAATCTGCGGGGATGTAATTCTCTGTCGTGTTATCAGTTGCTCAGCAGCCCGTTCCTGCCAAAATACTGGCAGCCTTTTTGCAAGGGCAACATCATCAAATGGAGGGGCTGAGGAGATTGGAGGTCAGGGCTGGACAATTTGACTTCCCTAATTACCAGGCAAAGCTTCCAAATTCATCCCAAAAGCAAGTCAGGGGTGGTTGGGAAGCGTGGGGGGGGAGTGAGGGATCCCACTGGAATTGCTGGAGAATCCCAATTCCCGCTGGTGACTCGGAGCTGTCAACGCCACAACGTGCGAGACGGAGGTCTCAAACCTCTGGAGGAACATTTTGCACAGTGTGGATCCAGTAGCTGTCATCCACATCTGAGGTTTGGGAAGAGCTGTGTGCAGAGGGGTGGCAGCATCCTCGTAGCTTTTGTTTCTTTAATTGCTAACAGCAAGGCATTGCTCTTCACTGGAGGAGAGGGGGGATGCTCAAGTTTATGTTTTCTCTTCTCCTGTTACTTTTACCTGACTCGCTTCACTCTCTGCTGGTGGATATTTCTGCTGTTAAAATAGACTTAACTAGCACCAGAGCAGTACTTATAGGTTTTTTTAGAGCTTATTTAATGAGGTGGCAATAGGGAAATGTCACCAAACATTTGCTTGGTGCTGCCTAAGTGGTGTATCAGGGCCTTCAGATGGTTGCCCTTATGTGGGGGAAAAACGTTTTGTGTTACTCATACTGTAAACAATTGTGTCTGGAAAAGGTAACTTGTAGCTCTCTTTGCCACAGGGTGCAAGGCAAAATTCATTTTCTGTGTCAGCAGCAGAGTTTGGACGGGATCTGGAAGGGATTTGTGTGGCTTGATAGGTAAAACTATACCTGCTCTGCATGGTGGTTTTTCTTTCGCTTCAGCTGCTGTGGCCCTAATCCTAAAAAAAGGCAGAGTTGTCACCCTTGGGCTATTTTGTGCAAGTCCCTGATGCACTAGGGTTTGTAAGTGACTATTGTTGGTGATGTCTCTGCTTGACACAATGGGGAGAGATACCGTAGAATCCTAGAAGGGTTTGAGTTGGAAGGGATCAAAAGATCATCTTAGAAATCATCTCATTCCAGCCCCCTGCCTTGGGCAGGGACACCTTCCACTAGCCCAAGTTGCTCCAAGCCCCATCCAACCTGGCCTTCGACACTTCCAGGGATGGGGCAGCCACAGCTTCTCTGGGCAACCTGTGCCAGGGCCTCCCCACCCTCACAGAGAATTCCTTCCCAATATCCCATCTAACTCTGCCCTCTGGCAGCAGGAAGCCATTTCCCCTTGTCCTGTCACTCCATTCCTTGTCCAAAGTCTATTTAGGCTGCCCGTGTTTTATTTTTTTTTCTTTATATAGTGCAAGTGGGGAGTGCCCACATGGTGATACAAAGCAGGGAGAGAAATGCTGCTAAATGCTGACTATTTCTTTGGGTGGGCACTGCAAGGGTTCACTCAGAGATCTGGAGGGGAAGGTTGTTTTTGTGATTCTGTAAATGGCTGCACTTAAAGGTGGTGATTTGAATTGCTCTGGTCCCTAATATATATATATTTTGTTTATATATATTTATTTGCCTGGATACAGCCAGTGGGGCAAGGCTTTGGCTTAACCTCCCCCCCCTCCCTTA